TTTCCCTACTGTCCAGATTAAATACTGCAGGATGATTTTTTGTATGAGTAAACATCCTCCCAATAATGAACAGACCAATAATGTCTTAAAAAGAAAAACAGAATCTACGTTTTGTTTTTTTTATTCTTGTGTGGACTATTCCTGGATACAGGATCTGAGAGTATCATGTTGACTGTCCATAAAATGCAGTTTAGCCTCTTCTTGCTGTTATGGGGATGGGTTTTGTCCACTGAATGCAGAGCCCACTGGCAAGGAAAAGAAACACATGAGGTATACAAGAAGGGCAGGTGAGTATTCTGTACATTCAATTACTATATATATAATTTGGGCAAATGCAACATTTCTTAATTCTTAATAGGCTAATGTGGACATCTGGGGTTTGCATACGCAGCTTTGATAACTGAGCATCTTAAATAGTTTTCTGAACTCTTTTCTCTAGTAAATAGTAGTTTTACTTTTTCAGCAACCAAAATTACTAGGTCCAAAATCTGTTTTAATGTAACATTTGAGTGCAGAGGACTATTGTATCAGTGTGTTTGGGGATCTCCTCACATGAAAAGCGCAATAATGGTTGGTTACTTTATAGCCCTTGTTTGAGGAAAAACAATCAAATGGGTCTGCAAACTTGAAGGATACAATTAGTCATACTTGTGATGAGGAAGGAGAGCTTGAATCAGCTGAAGATAAAATATTCATTTTTTCTGAAAACAGTACATTCTCCCCTCTCCCTTCCTAATTCCCCCCAGTATTGCCATATACAGCCATTTCAGATATTTTGATTTGAGGAAGTTTTCCCAATACTAGAATAGTTTTGTGTTTCATTTTAGAATACTCATTATCTTTATTTTGCAAAGATTTGGGAGCCTAGTACAAATACTTACATAAATGATATCTGTACATTCAAACAGATAAATGCACCATGAGATACAGCTGGACAAAAAATACTGATTAGTTTGGGGATATTAATGGCTACCTCTTTTATGGAACCAGTATTTAAAATGTTGTCTACTAGAGCTACCCAAGGTGAATTGAGACTAGCTATCTGTCCCCTCAGTGCAGTCGTTATTTTTGCTCGTTAGCAACTATGTACTGATTCCAACACCATCTTAATTAACATGAGAAGGAATCGTTTTGAGGAACCTGGCCTGTGAAAAGAATTGCAGAAGTGTTATAGCCCTTAAAAATTTTAACTGTTTCTCAAGCATCGGCATTAGGAGAAAATGAGCAGAAAATAGCTGAGTGTGATGGATGGTTTTTGATTTACATCTTCAAATATTTTCCCCCTCAGGACAGGACTATCATATTATCTCTGGTACTACAATAGCTCTGTAATACTTGTGAATCCATGATTGGTCTTGGAGATGAAATATGACATGGGTTCAATGGTGATGTCTCACTGCTGAAAAATGAAACTGTCAAAATGGATGCTGCAGCCCTTATTCATAAACAGTCCCAATGGGACACTTTACAATAAATAGCAAAGCAATGCCATCTGAGTTTCCTTTCATCTGGGTTTATGAAAATGGCACCTGAGATGCTGTAGTTAAGCCTTGCAAAACAAGTTCCAATTCAGCTTTAATTGAATAAAAATACAGCTTTCAAGTTAAACACACGTGCACATGTATGCACGATGCAGTTGTGTTCCATACAACATTTTTAATGCTAATTATATTCCCAAACACTCAACAGCATAAATAATAATCAACTGAATTTAATAAGTCACAGTAGAAGGGGATGTTAAGTCGTATATGCAAAAGGAAGAAATTGGCATTAAACACTTAAACGAAACAACATATATGTGAACATCTGGTTAAACTGCTCCAGCAAGATCTCTGGGAGGCACTGAGACTCCAGTGAAAGAGGAACTGCTTCCAAATGGGGCGAGGAAAGAATCAGGACCCTGGACCATTTAGGATGCTTAGCACTGATAGTGGTGATAGCCTAGAGTAATCTGGGTGACTAGAGAACTAAAAGGCATGAAACAGCTCTGGGTCTTCATCTGTTGGTGCAAATTGGAGGTGGGGGGAGAAGGTTCCTTGTGCCCTTCTATTCCATACACAGTTTACCCAAGGGATAGACACAATCTGATTTAGAGTTAGCTATATAAAGAGACAAGGGGATTACAGCAGCCACAGAGAAAGCAGTGCTCAAAGTGAAATGCATGTGTAGCACAAGATCTGTCAAATCTGTACTCATCCGGGTGCACTTTGTAGAAAGATTTTAGTTCATTACAGAGTCAGCATCTGGCATCTGTTAATTATCTGTAATAATTTCTGTCTGAAGAATAAAGAAACACGTGGTAAATGATAATAGTAATTTTGAGATTGAGGAAATAGAAAAAAGAACAATTTTACTCACAGCTTGCTGGACTATACTAGAATAGTCCCAACAGCCATACCTGATAACCAGAAATGCTCCAGTGACCAGGAGTTGTGAGGCTGTTTGGTATAGCAATGTACTAGGCCAGTCGATGACATTTCAATCAGAAAGGACAAGATCCAAAGCTACAGTGCTGGATGTCACTTCAAGCCATCTTTGTGTTCCCTGATTCTGGATCCCTGTGAAGAACTGATCTTTCTGACCCAAAGCCTGCTAAAAGTTGTGCCAGGTGTCTATAGTATGGTGGGACTGTTTCTGCAGCCATGTATCTCAGACCACTCCATCCATGCCCACCCCCACTGCCCCATGTCAGCCACCGAAGGGTATAGTATAATAGCTGCTAAACCAGTGCTACACGACTTGAAGAAATTCTCTGGGTGCCAGAAAACAGAGCTTTTGGTTAGCTTTGCAGAATGAATGATCCAGCCCTAGTCCATAATCTTTTTCATGCTTGTAAGTTTCAAGGCCAGAAAGAACTGGTAAGATTGCCCAAGTCTGACAGCCTGTGTAAATAGGCTAACTTCATCCTCTCATTTTCGCATCAAACCTATCATTTCTGCTTGATCTACACCCTATCTCCTAGAACAAATATCCAGTTCTGATTTGAAAACTTCCAGTGGTAGAGAAACCAACATATTCTTTGGTTAGCTGTTCAAAAGTCTAATTACACCCCCCTGCTAAAATCTGTGCCTTATTTCTAGTTTGAATGTATCTAATTTATGGTCTAACCCTGGATTTTATGATGTCTCTGTCTGCTAGATTAAGAAGTCCTCAGCAGCATGAAAACTGTTCTCTAACTACGTTTTGAGCTCATGATCAAGTCACCTTTTAATCACCTGTTGGATAAATTAAACAGGCAAAGCTTCTTAAATTTCTCCTTATAAGCAGCTTTCCAGATTTTGAATAATTCTTGTAGGTCTTTCCCCAAACCCCTTCCAATTACTCATATTCTCTTTTGATACATGGGCACTAGAACACCATATGCATAGCTGCAGCAGTGCACTGGGAACTGTGTTCAATTGTTAAGTGATCCATTGCTTTGGATCCTTCTTGGTATCACTGTATTGCAGGATACAGTCCTCCATCTTACATGGATGGCCTGTGTTCTTTATTCTTTGATGTATGACCTCACATTTGGCTGTATTAAAATGCATACTATTCAAATAAGCCAATCTTGATACAGGCAAGACTCTTGGATTTGCATTGGAAGACTTGTTTTTATTAGGAGGGCAGAATTAGAGTCCAAGGATATGTCTACACTGCCCCTGGACTGGCATACGCACTCTGGTTAGCTGCACTTGTGAAGCTATTGGAGAAGCAAAGGAGATATTCTTGGTGCAGGATGTGAAGCAACAAGGTCAAATATGGTTTTATTCTTTCTCTTTTACCTAATGAGGCAATTCTTTGGCATCCTCAAACATTCATAACTCATGAAATTGCATAAAAGATAAAGAAGAATATTACACATACCATTCAGGTTTACCAGGTCCTGAAGCTCTGTTGAAAGCACTACCATGGTCCTCTGATCCCCTACATGCATGTGTGGAGTCAGGGATGGAGCAGTGTAGCCAGTAGTGATCTAACCATCAGGCTTGAGTCTAGTCCAGAGGCAGGGGGAAGGAGCTTCTCAGTCTCTCTGGAGGAAGCCATTAAACTTTCCATGAAACAAGAGATTCTGAAACAGAGGCAGAAGGACTTTTTAGCTTAGTGCATTCATTTGACAGGGAAAGCCCCTGTTCCAAAGATAATACCAAGATTATAAGTATTTTGGACAATATGTAACTATTGACATTCCCTTCACACACCTAGAACAGCCTGTCTTTTGGTGGTTAGGGTGCTATCCTGGGAGATGGGAATCCCCTCAGGCAGAGGAGGAAAATGAATTCAGGTATCCCACTTCTGTGGTGAGTGATCTAACCACTAAGTTTTTGGTCCAAAGGGATAAAGAATCACTATCGTGCCTCTGCTTGTACAGAGCCCAAAAGGCTTGCTTTGAGATTGCTTATTGGATCAAGTCCTGCCAGCAAGATAGGTGGATCAACCCCTAGTTTATGGATTTCTTGTCAAAGTCTTGTCAGGACCCAGGCATGGCTTACCTCCAAGCTACTCAGCAATATCAACACTGAAGCACTTTTTGTTGTTAGAAGTAGACGGATAGACATCTAGGGAACTATACCGGCAAAACTGAGATACCTTGGTAAGCTAGAATTTTGAGGATTATAATTTTGGATTTATGTATGTAAAATAGGAGTTGGGTGGGACTGAGATTTGTAGTTCTTTTTTTTTTAGTAAGTATTTCTGATGACCTAATCAGACCTGAAGACTCATTACTACTGGTGAGGGTGAACAACGGGAGAAGAACCAGCTTGGCTCTCAGAGCCCAGGCTACATCTTCAGACCCCCAAATTTTAAACTCTAAAATCCCTAGGGCCCTCTGGACAGTCACCTTGAAGATAAGCACTCCCCTGCAAGGCAAATTTAATGGTGCTGATATATGGATACTGTTGGTCTTTTGCTTAATTTATCTACAAGACTGGCTTCATTTTTTATCATATCCTTATATGGTGGGTTCAGGCTTATTGCTTAGCTCACAAAGCCTTTAAATTGATACAGTCCTTAAACAGAGTTCATAAGGGGATGACTGACTCTCAGTCCTGAGATCTCTTCCCAGATCCCAAGAAGGTGCTGCCAGCTTTATGCTGCTCCCTCAGTCCTGCAGTGCAACCTTTCTTCTCTCTTTCACATGAGCTCCCTCTCCTGATCTTGGGGCTGCTGCCTCCAGCCTTGTAGGGTCTTTTGCCAGACCCCAGGAGAGTCCTTAGCTCCATGTTGCAGCGGTCAGACAGCCAACTAAGCACCCACACTCTCCCTCTGTCTGACCCCAGACTTCCCAGGAGCCTTTAGCTTC